AGCGCAGAGGCCGGTGCAGGCAGCACCGAGGCCGACCTGTGGGCGCGCAACTCCCCTCTGGCAGCCGACCATGTCGCTGCTGGCTCCTTCGAGACTGCTATGCAACTGCTTAACCGTCAAGTCGGAGCGGTCAACTTTGCCCCTCTCAAGCCCCGGTTCTTGGAAGTGTACAAGGCCTCCAAGACTTTCCTCCCGGCGACCACTGGCCTGCCCCCGTTGGTCAACTATGTCCGCCGCACTGTCGATGAGACGGATAGCCGCAAGGTCCTGCCTATCATCCCCAAGGACCTGGAGACAATCGCCAACGTGGATCTGCAGGAGGGTTACGCCGCCATGCGGGCCAACAAGTTGGAAGATGGTGTGCGGATCTTCCGCAACATCCTGAACTCCGTCTTGGTCAACACTGTCTCATCCGAAGCGGAGGTTGAGCAGGCGAAGAAGATCATTGAGACCGCTCGGGAATACATCCTGGCCATGACTATTGAACTGGAGCGCCGTTCCATCCCCACCGATACTCCTGACAACCTCAAGCGAAGCCTCGAGCTTTCTGCTTACTTCACGATCCCCAAGCTGGAGGTTGCCCACCGGCAATTGGCGCTCATGGCTGCCATGAAGCTGGCCTTTGCCAACAAGAACTACTCTTCGGCCCTCAGCTTTGCCAACCGCATGCTGGCTAACGGTGGCTCACCCAAGCTCCTGGAACAGGTAAGCAATACATGCCTTCTCCGTTGATGATTCGAAATGCTAACCCATGAAATAGGCCAAGAAGATCAAGGCGCAATGCGAGCGCAGCCCGCAAGACAAGATCGACATTGAGTTCGACCAATTTGCCGAATTCGATATTTGCGCTGCTTCGTTCACACCGATCTACGGCGGCTCACCGAGCGTGTCGGACCCGTTCACGGGCGCCAAGTACCACGAGCAGTACAAGGGCACCGTGTGCCGGATCTCGCAGGTGACGGAGATCGGCGCGCCGGCCAGCGGGCTGCGTTTGTTCGTCCCCGGTCAGTACTAAGGATGATGACGAGATGTGACGGCTTTCCTTTTTCTTTCTTCACGCTTGTAATTCCCCGTCTCAATGTGCAAACATGATAGAAATGGGCTTTCTCTGGTGGGGGGAAAAGGAGGATGGATTCTGGTTGGAGAGGAAATGTTGGCGCCCATGGCTGGAGGAAGCTCTCCTGCTTTGGATTGTCCCGATGTGTGAAATTCATAATTCCAGCGACGTTAGTATATTCATTCATCTATTTATTGTTATTGTTATTGTTTTTGATATACTTTTCTTCTTTTCATTTCTTTTTCTTCTTCTATTCTTTTTGCGAGACTGTTCTTGTACAGATAAAGAGGTGAGATAGTATTATCATATCATATCATATCATGATCAGATGCAGAGTAGAGATATCCGTCACCCAATAGTTATTATAGTACACAATGTAAACTCCCCACTCATCCCATCCTACCATCATATGCAATGATAGCAGCAGCAGCAGCAGCAGCAGTAGTAGTCTATATCTATAATCTAATCATACACACTCCCCTCTCCATCCCCCACACATCAAATACAGTATGGAGATGAAGAATCACTCACACCTCCCATCCCCCCACCCCTTCCTCCACCTCTCCTCCCAAAACCTACAATCAAACTCACTCTTCCCCAATTTGCGATTCACCTCATTATGCGCCCTACACATCCAATCCCCGAACTCCTTCCGACCGCCCAACCTAGGCTGATTCTCCCCACTCGGCTCCGCCATCCACGTCCGGAAATCGTCAGCACACACCCAGCACGGATACAGCTTCGAGAATATCCCCAGGAACTGGCGCATCTCGGACTGTTGTTCGCTGGACGCTTGCGCCGGGTACGACGCCGTCAATGAGTGCAGGAACGTCCAGGTGGAGCGGCCGAGGGCTTCTGAGTCCGGTGGGCAGTCTGTGTAGCCCGGGGTGGTGGTGAGGGTTTTTGGGATGGTGCTGGTGCTGCTAGTTGTGGTTGTGGTGGTGGGGGTCGATTTGGCTTGTTTGGTCAGGGCGCGCCAGGAGGCGGCGGAGGTGCAGAGGCGGCATCTATTCATGGGAAGATTTTGTTAGTTAGGGAGGTATGTGGGGAGGGGATGGGGGAGGGCGTACGGCTTTCCGTCTTTGTCGAGGATGACTCCGTTGGGGAGTTTGGTCATGCCTGCGGGGACGGAGTCATCTTTTGTTGTCGCTGTTGGAGCGGGTTGTTGTTGGGTGGAGGATGAAGGCGTAGCAGGTTGTTGCTGTTGTTGGTGGATGAAGAGGTGTTTTTGTGTGTCTGATGGTGGTGTTGTGTCTGCCATTGTGGGCTATGTAGGTGGTGACTGATGCTTGTGGGAGGTGGATGAAGGTATTCGGATGCGATGCGGAGAAGAAGTAGGACGCAGCGCAGAGCAGAAGTAGTCAATTCGGAAGAGTAGTATGTACACTGTAGGGTCTAGTATCCGAGCAGGGCAGAGATACAAAGGAGCAATGTCCGCGACAGAGCTTAAGAGACAACTTCTGGGGAATTGATAGTGATTGATTGGTAATGCAACAAAAGAATGTCTCCGTCGAATCCCTCCGGCTTCTAGAATTGCCATGTGCCTGCTTTGTCAGCCGAGTTATCTCCGCCGCTCCGCCTGTGCCTTGCCTGGAGCAATGGAATGATGGGGGACGTCCAAGCTTTGTGAATCCATACACTGTGATTGATCAACTAGTTAACTTGTTCTTTTCGCGTCAGTACGCGTCCTAGGTTGGACATCCACTGCTAGTGAAATAAGCTTCTGTGCCTGACGAGATTACGAGATTATCAGAAGTGCTGCCAGAACGCGATAGGTAACTCATCGAACTAGCTAATTAACTAGCGCCGTGTCCCCTCCTGCTAGGTACCACGCGACAGTTGAGGTTATCGGAACGCAGTGCCATCTACCCCCATACAGTTATACAAGCGCAATGGCGCCACGATACGCCCTTTCGAGTTCCGAGCCGGAGTCGGAAGCTGAATCTGCGTCTGGTCGACCTGCCGATGATGTCTTGGAGAAGGCACTGCGTGATGCGGTTACGAAGGTGTATAATTCGGGCAAGATGGAGGAATTGACGGTGAAGCGGGTGCGGCTAGCTGCGGAGAAAGCACTACAGCTGGAGGAAGGCTTTTACAAGACTCAGGGGGATTGGAAGACAAGGAGTGAGCAGATTATCAAGGATCAGGTGGTGAGTTTGCGGGTTTCCTGGCTGTCATTGGGGGCATGGCTAAGAGTGTATGATGTTAATGAAGATCGTCTACTGACTTGCTGATGTATACAGGAGGAGGAAGAGAAAGTTACCCAGGAACCGGTGCCGGATGACGAGGAAGTTGCCGCTTCATCTGCTTCGGAAGACGCAAAGCCTGCCAAACGAGCGAGACCAGCGAAGCCATCAACTTCGCGCAAACGCCAGAAGAGAAGCGCTTCGGAATCCGATGACGGAGATGCAACCAACGGATCACCAGTAGAGGAGGAAGACAAGGTAGAAAAGGTCCCGAAGAAACAGACCAAGGCAACACCGAAGAAGCAGCCATCGCCCAAGACTTCCGAAGACTACGTTCAAGATTTCGATGAGGAAGAAGGGGCAAAACCAGAGAAAGCTGAAGAGACGCCAAAAGACGACTCTGAGAGCGAACTTTCAGTTGTCCTAGACGAGGAGCCTAAACCGAAGCCGAACCGCAAGCGACAGAAAAGTGCCGAGGCACCCCTACGCAAGGGCAGGAAACATACAACGGCAAAGGGAAAAGATGCGGATATAGACCCGAACCAAGCGGAAATCAAGCGGTTGCAAGGCTGGCTGTTGAAGTGCGGGATCCGCAAGATGTGGGCACGGGAGCTGGCTCCCTACGATACGCCCAAAGCGAAGATCAATCACCTCAAGGGCATGCTGAAAGAGGCAGGCATGGAGGGGCGCTACTCGGTTGAAAAGGCTAACCGTATCCGCGAGGAGCGTGAACTCAAAGCTGATCTAGAGATGGTTCAAGAAGGAGCCAAGCGCTGGGGTAAAGGAAGCGGCAGCGAGAACAGTGATGATAGTCGACCGAAGCGGCGGCTGAATCGCGGGCGGAAGAGTCTGGCCTTTTTAGAGAGCGAGGGAGAGGAAACGGACTGAGATGGTGGGACGATCAATGTGCGGGTTGCTGCATGATTTAGCTGTCGCAGTATCTGCCTGGCGCAGGCTGTGGGTCGTAATGACACTCGAGATAATTGAATAGTCCATGTTGGCACATCACGCCTTATTTCCCTGTCTTTGTTCCGCCCATACGTTGAGCCACCAAGCTAAAGACGGCGACGGAAGAGATGAAGAGGACGAGGTTGTAGAACTATATAGCATGTCAGTCAATAATTGGAATCATTGTATAGCGACACCTTGCGAGAGCTTACCGCTGTTCTGGAGTACTCGTTCTCTTCCGCCTCTGTTCTAGCCTCGACAAACAGGCGTCGGAGATTGGGTAGATTTGCCTAGAGTGGAGAGGTGAGTAGTAGCTTTTGATGGGGTAATTTTAAGTTACATACCATAGCTCTGGTAGCAAGTAATGCTGTTTGACAGGAGAAGGAAAGAAAGAAAGACGGAAGGCGGCGGCGGTGGTGGTGGTGGTGACGGGGAAGCCAAACCGGGGAAGAAAGAGAGCGGCTCAGGTTAAGTTAGTGTTGGGTCCAGACACTCACTCGCTCGACTCCCTGATTGTATCTGTCCTCCTTCCACTTCCTGCCCGGCCCTCTTGCTTCCCCCCATCAACCCCCCATCTTCCCTCCCTTAGGGTCTTTTTCTATATTTTACTTCTTCTCTTCCTTTGTCCTTGTCTTGTTTCCTTTTACTCGTCCAACCATCCTCTGCCGGATTGCTGCCGTGTCCGGTTCTCCCTGAAGCTCTCGCCGCCTCGCATTAATTCCCCGCAGTCTCCTGCATTCCCACTTCCGATCCCATCTGCTTTTGCGGAGGCGCGACCCCGTCGTCGCTGAAGCCCGGTTTCGCTCAGCATGGCTATGAGTAAGATCAGGGGGGCCTTTGCGGTCCCCAGAAAAGGAGAGACCTTCGAATTGCGAGCTGGTCTTGTGTATGGTGTGCCCCGTGCCCGATCGGTGACCGACATCTTGCTGACCTCTCGACAGATCTCAGTATGCATATGAACGGTACGTCGACATGAATCTGCCTATGCAGAACCGCCGATAGCCCGTGACACATTCTCTGATGCGCGCATAGGAAGGAGTCCATTCAGAAGACCATCATGGCCATGACGTTGGGCAAGGACGTTTCCGCTCTGTTTCCGGATGTCCTCAAGAACATTGCGACCAGCGATCTCGAGCAGAAGAAACTAGTATACCTCTATCTCATGTGCGTGTTCGCTCTTTGATTTTCCAAGTGATCTCTACTAAACACTCGCTACGTACCAGGAACTACGCCAAATCTCACCCGGACCTTTGCATTCTCGCCGTCAACACCTTCGTACAAGACTCCGAAGACCCGAACCCCCTCATCAGGGCTCTCGCAATCCGGACAATGGGATGTATTCGTGTGGACAAGATGGTGGATTATATGGAGGAGCCCCTCCGCAAGACGCTTCGCGATGAGTCGCCATATGTCCGGAAGACCGCCGCGATCTGTGTAGCGAAGCTCTTCGACCTGAACCCCGCTATGTGCCTGGAAAACGGCTTCCTGGATATGCTGCAAGAGATGATTGGTGATCCTAACCCCATGGTTGTCGCCAACTCCGTCACCGCACTGTCCGAAATCTACCATGCTGCCCCTGAAACGCAAGCCCTCAAGGTGACCTCCAACACTCTGCGCAAACTTCTTATGGCCTTGAACGAGTGCACGGAATGGGGTCGAGTCACGATTTTGACTACTCTGGCCGAGTACAGAACCAATGAAGTGACTGAATCTGAACACATTTGCGAAAGGGTTGCTCCCCAATTCCAACATGCCAACCCCAGTGTTGTCCTGGCGGCCGTTAAGGTGGTATTCCTCCATATGAGGAACGTCAACTATGAGCTGGCGAAGAACTACCTGAAAAAGATGGCTCCCCCGCTTGGTAAGATAACCATCGATTTTGCCGACTGACTTACTTGCTGATGTATGATGTTCAGTAACGTTGGTGTCGTCGGCGCCCGAAGTCCAGTATGTGGCTTTACGGAACATTGATTTGTTGTTGCAGAAGCAGCCTGATATCCTGAACAAAGAACTGCGGGTCTTCTTCTGCAAGTACAACGATCCACCTTACGTTAAGTTCCAGAAGCTGGAGATCATGGTCCGCATAGCGAACGACCGCAACGTCGACCAGCTTCTGGCAGAGCTGAAGGAGTACGCGCTGGAGGTAGATATGGACTTTGTGCGCCGCGCCGTCAAAGCTATCGGTCAAGTCGCCATTAAGATCGAGAGCGCCAGCGAAAAGTGTGTCAACACCCTGCTGGATCTCATTAACACCAAGGTCAATTATGTGGTGCAAGAGGCGATCGTGGTCATCAAGGACATCTTCCGCAAATATCCCGGCTACGAAGGAATTATTCCCACTCTCTGCAAGTGCATCGATGAACTGGATGAACCTAATGCGCGCGCTGCGCTCATCTGGATCGTTGGTCAGTATGCGGAGAAGATCAGCAACGCGGGTGACATTCTTGCTGGTTTTGTGGAAGGCTTCAATGAGGAGTTCTCTCAGGTTCGTTTATTTTTCTCGCCAAGCCTCTCGACCAATTGCTGATCCTTTGTGCAGACCCAGCTGCAGATCTTGACCGCTGTCGTCAAGCTCTTCCTCAAGCGGCCCGAGAAGGCTCAGGGGCTTGTCCAGAAAGTGCTGCAGGCGGCCACGGCTGAGAATGACAACCCCGATGTCCGCGATAGGGCTTACGTGTATTGGCGTTTGCTGTCCAACACGAGCGACCCCAATGCTACGAAGAACATCGTACTGTCTGACAAACCGCCGATCGTCACCACAATCCACTCTCTTCCCCCGAATCTCCTCGATCAGCTACTGGGCGAACTCTCCACCCTCGCATCTGTCTACCACAAGCCTCCGGAGCAATTCGTTGGACAGGGCAGATTCGGTGCAGATGCCGTACAAAGAGCTGCCATCGAGTATGTTTTACTCTCGCTTTGCAAAGCTGGTTACTTGGAATCCAGGCTAATGAAAATCCTAGGGAACAAATCCAAAACGCTCGGGAGAATCCGTTGGCGGCAGCGGCGGCAGCAGCAGCTGTTACTGGCAGTGCTCCGCCTCCGCAAGCCCAGAGCAACGTCGAGAACTTGTTGGATATCGACTTCGATGGCACCGCGCCGGCATCTGCTCAGAAAGAACCGGGCGCTGGGATGTCAGGTCTCGAAGGCCTTGCTGGAACGCCCGTGCGGGTGGAATCTCCGGCCGCAGGGGCACCTTCTGGAAGCAACAACCTGGACGACCTGCTCGGAGTGTTTGGCGATGGCGCCGCCGCCGCCGCCCCAGCCAGCGGGAGCGGTGCTCCCAGTGGCGGTGCTGGTGCAGACTTGATGAATGGCTTTGAGGGGCTGGACCTGTCTGGAGGTGGCATGGCTTCACCACCTCCTGGAGGAAGCCAGCCAAAGAAGACAAACGAGGATATTTTGTCGTTATTCTGAGCGCAATGAGCCATGTCTGTATGTTGGCGCACGATTTCGTATAGCTGAATCGCAGGTGCGGGAAGGTTGAGCCAAAAGCACACATAATTCTGTTGATGCATGCCGAATATAGATCTATTTTTCGTTACTCTAGCTTGGGGTCTATCTTGATACTACTCTTGTCTATCTGCTTTTCTCCTGTTTGTCATTCTGGGTGTTTCCGCCCACCTGTATATCCATCTCATCATTGGACTTGACGAGCATTGATCAATTCGACGTATCCCTTACTTAATTGCACACTTCTTTCCCGGTCAACGCATTCAGGAAACTTTTCCCAACTTCAGAGGACTTGCTGACTTTGCATTTAACCATTCTAGCGGGGGGCCAGCAATGCTAGTTGGTCGGAACCGAAACCCTCCCTTGTCCGGGTGAGTCACGGCTGCTCATCCTGCCCGGACTTCCGGCAGTCTGTGAACCACTATAAATAGTCAAGCCATTCTCATGGCTCTCATCGCTTTTCTCAGACTGAAATTCATTGAACTCCTTTTATTAGCGTGCAATGGATCAACTAAAGAAAACTTTCGCCCGGTGTGCGCAGGAGGGCCGGCCAGCCCTTGTGACCTATGTCACGGCTGGCTTCCCTACGGCAGCAGAGACTCCAGACATTATGCTTGCAATGCAGGCTGGAGGAGCTGGTATGCAATGATTTCTAGCTTGTTCAAGTGACAACATCCGCTGGTGTGCTAATGATGTGGTAGATGTCATTGAACTCGGTCTCCCCTTCACGGATCCTATTGCCGACGGCCCTACCATTCAAATGTCGAACCTTAAGGCGCTCGATAATGGTGTTACCATATCCTCTATGTTGCAGATGGTTAAGGATGCCCGTCAAAGAGGCCTACACGTTCCTGTCCTCTTTATGGGTTACTATAACCCGATCATGCGTTATGGGGAATCCGAGCTCCTCGCTGCGAGCAGGACAGCGGGGGTGGATGGCTTCATCATTGTCGATCTACCTCCCGAGGAAGCTGTTCGATTCCGGAATCAGTGTAGAGATGCTGGGTTAGTTACCTTTCTAATACCAATTGTTGAGGCAACATGGCATTGCTTGACCATCCACTGACACGTATCCGTTGAGCAGTCTTTCCTACGTCCCATTGATAGCCCCGTCGACCACAGAGGACCGCATGAAAACTCTCTGCGGAATTGCCGATTCCTTTATATACCTTGTGTCCAGAATGGGTGTCACTGGCGTCACTGGCACTCTGAGTCACGATCTCCCGGAACTAATGAAGCGCGTGAAGCATCTTTCCGGCGGAGTACCGGTGGCCGTTGGTTTCGGCGTCAGCACCCGTGAACAGTTCCTCGGCGTCACCTCTGTCGCAGACGGCGCTGTCATTGGCAGTGAGATAATCACCCAGCTGGCAAACGCCCCTGCAGGCCAGGGTGCTGCTATTATCCAAGACTACTGCTCTCAGATTACATGTCGGACAGTCGAGCCAACCGAACCTCACTCTGTCCCACAGAATACTCATCCATCTTCATCATCATCAAACCTCCCTGTCTCCGAGCAGTCAACTGAAGCGTCCAAGCCCGGCCGCTTCGGCACCTTCGGCGGCCAGTACGTACCAGAAGCCCTAACGACATGTCTCAACGAACTAGAAGCCGGCTTCAATGCCGCCATCGACGATCCAACCTTCTGGGCTGAATACCGTTCCTACTACCCTTACATCGGACGGCCCTCATCTCTACACCAAGCCCCACGCCTCACCTCCCACGCCGGAGGCGCCACTATCTGGCTAAAGCGCGAAGACCTCAACCACACCGGCTCACACAAAATCAACAACGCCCTCGGCCAGATCCTTCTCGCCCGCCGACTCGGCAAGACGGAGATCATCGCCGAAACAGGAGCCGGCCAACACGGCGTAGCAACCGCCACCGTATGCGCCAAATTCGGCATGAAATGCACCGTATACATGGGCTCCGAAGACGTCCGCCGCCAGGCCCTCAACGTCTTCCGGATGCGCCTCCTCGGCGCCACCGTCATCCCCGTAGAATCCGGATCCCGCACACTCCGCGACGCCGTCAACGAAGCCTTTCGCGCGTGGATCACGCGCCTTAACACAACCCACTACATCATCGGCTCAGCCATCGGACCACACCCCTTTCCCACAATCGTCCGCACTTTCCAATCCATCATCGGCCAGGAAACCAAAACCCAGCTGGCACAGCAAATCAACCGTCTCCCTGATGCAGTGGTCGCCTGTGTAGGCGGCGGCTCTAACGCCGTCGGCATGTTCTACCCTTTCTCTGAAGACTCGTCTGTCCAGTTAATCGGTGTGGAAGCCGGCGGCGATGGTACCACTGGCCCCGAGCATCATTGCGCTACCTTATCCTCTGGGACTGGCTCGGTTGGTGTATTCCATGGAGTGCGGACGTACGTACTTCAGAACGAACACGGGCAGATCTCCGGAACGCATTCCGTGTCTGCAGGGTTGGATTATCCTGGGGTTGGACCGGAATTGGCGCATTGGAAGGAGGTGGGCAGAGCGAGGTTCATCTCGGCGACGGATGACGAGGCGCTGGAGGGGTTGAGGTTGTTGTGTCGGTTGGAGGGGATTTTGCCGGCGTTGGAGACGGCGCATGCGATTGCCAAGGTGGTAGATGTGGCGAGGGAGGTTGGGGTAGGTGGTCATGTTGTGTTGTGTGTTAGTGGGAGGGGGGATAAGGATGTTGATACGGTTATGGGGGTGGAGGGGATGGCTTAGGGAGGTGGTATAATACTTCAGCTTCTTTTCTTAATTTTCGGGATGTTATTAATTCTATCAATCTGGTACTTTTTCACTTGAACCTTCCATTGAACCCGAGTATAAATGCAGCATGTTGAAGATGCCAATGGTATAATTAATTGCTTGGGTCTTTCAATTGACGTGAACCCCCAATATAAACTAATAGAATGGATAAGCAGAAAGATACACAGCAAAAGCTGCATACCTTAACTATCCTATGATAATACGTCCAGTACATGCGACGCTCAATGCAACACATAGGCTACTTAAAAAGTAGTAGTATAGATAACGCCATACCACCCCAATATGACCGATAGTTATAGATACTAGTAGTTAGTAGCGGTCAACTATAGTAGTACCATGTCACCGACATAATTCCGAGAATATTACCGAAGTGTACCCTCACGATAATTCATCTCAGTATAGCGAATATGTCCTGATATTCTTTAAATCAATAATGAGACTGGAATAAGAATACCAGTCCGGAAATAATGTATGTAGCGAGGCAGACAGACAGACAGACAGCACAGTAAAGTAGGAAAGTTATCGCTATCTATAATCTGGATCTGGCAAAAGATAAAAGATACCGAATCGGACCCTCCCTTGTTCGGAACGAGATTACATTGATTAGAGTGAGATTCCCGATAAGATCCGATTCCTGCAAGGTTTCCGCGTCGTATTCTTCAACTTGCGGGTTATCCGGGCCGTGACGATATGTCTATGAGTTAAGATCACACCACACATGTCATTCACTTTACTAGGTATAATATTCAAGACATAAATATGGGAGATAATAGAATCAATCAATTAAGGTCGTTAAGGCTGTAGGGCGGTCTTCCCACACTGATTTTCTTTTATTTTTCAATTCTCAGTGGGGGCGCTTCGTCCGTCCACTTTATTAGTCTCATTGTCCGGCTTTGGAGAAGGAAAATTTGGAGACATTGGAGAGACACTAGCATTAAAAAGTATTCGTTCAGTTACAATTAATAATTCAATCTAGAATAATAATACCCAACCCAATTACTGATTTATGGTTTCTGTATAGCCAATTAATCTTGTAGTCTACAGGTAAGGTTGAATTAAGAGCATTAATAATGCTACAAAACAAGCCGACGGATCGAGGTAAGACTCCGCCAGATGTCTATCGGAAAGACTCCATCTAGACCACAAAGTACTTCTTCTCAGTGGGCTAATAGACCATCGATGGGATATCCGCAATACCCGTGCCCTTTCCGCCTCTTCTTCTCCCTTCTTGGCTATTCTGTCTCTGGCCAAAAGTGGGCCATCTGCCGATCCAACCGATGAATGATCCATGGAATAGCAGTTGCCCCTCTGTAGTGGTTCCTGGCGTATAAATTATAAAGATTTGGGGTTATCTCCTATCCCTTTACTTAGTTGGTTGCACCTGTCATACTCCAAACCTAAGCATACCTCTGTCCACTCAATCATTCACAATGGCTCAAGATTACAAGTTTGAAGGATGGATGGGTCTCGACAAGGACTCCGCCGACGGAAAGATGGTCTGGCAGGAGTTTGAGCCCAAGCCGTGGGAGGAAACCGATGTTGACATTAAGATCACTCACTGCGGTATCTGCGGTTCCGATTTGCACACTCTTCGCAGCGGCTGGGTAAGTCATTCATCACCATGTTTGATTTTGTGGAAAGGTCGAGAATTTAGATGCTAACCTCAGCAGAGACCTACCTTGTACCCCTGCTGCGTGGGCCACGAAATCGTCGGCATTGCCGTGCGTGTTGGTTCCAAGGCTGTCGGCGGCATCAAGGTCGGTGACCGCGTGGGTGTCGGCGCGCAGAGCGACTCCTGCCTTGGTCGTCTGGGAGACTGCCCCGAATGTGCAATGGGCGATGAGCAGTACTGCTCCCACAAGATCGTCGGTACCTACAACAATGTGCACCTGAACGGCGGCAAGTCTTACGGTGGATATGCTCTGTACAACCGCACCCCGTCTCACTTCGTTATCAAGATCCCCGACAGCATCTCTTCGGCGCAGGCCGCCCCTATGCTGTGTGGTGGTGTCACCCTATTCAGTCCCCTGAAGCACCACAACTGTGGTCCCGGCAAGCGCGTAGGTATCATTGGTGTTGGTGGATTGGGCCACTTCGGTGTGCTTTTGGCCAAGGCCATGGGTGCTGATAAGGTGGTTGCTATCTCCCGCAAGACTGGCAAGGCCAATGATGCGCTGGCTATGGGTGCCGATCTCTATGTTGCTACGGATGATGAGCCGGACTGGGCTACCAAGTATGCCCGGTCTCTGGATCTGATTGTCTGCACGGTTTCCTCGACCAAGGTATGATTTGACCCCGTCGACTATTCGCCAATAGTGTAAAAACTCGGATACTAATGGGGATATAGATGCCCATGACCGAGTACCTGGGCCTGCTCGCGACGGGCGGTGCCCTGGTCCAGGTCGGACTTCCTGATGACGGTGTTCTCCTGGCCCCTGTCGGCAAGCTGCAGCGTCGTCTAAAGGCCACCAGCTCCTTTATCGGCAGCCCCAACGAGATCCGTGAGATGTTCCAGCTCGTTGCCGAGAAGGGAGTCAAGGCGTGGATTGAAGAAATCCCGATGAAGGACGCCAATCAGGCCATTGTGGACATGCACGCGGGTAAGGCGCGGTACCGTTATGTGCTGGTGAATGAGCAGTGATGTGATGATGGTGATGATTTACGAAGTATGGAGTTGTTGGAGTTTAGTTGGAGAAGAGGACAGCGATGTTGCACAGACATAGATAGAGATAGAGATAGAGACTAAAATGATACCATTTTCGTTGACCGAAACAGGCAGGTGGCGGGCACGTGGCTGCGAGGGGCGCCGCAGTCGGAGGCGCTAAACCCAAAGTGGATTTTTCCCCTCGGCCTTCGCCGCGGGGATCTTTCCGACTTGCCTCTTTGACTCAGACATCTTTATCACTCTTTCTCCTTCTCTCCTTTGGTCCTTACTTACCATTGCCTCATTCATTGATATTCACAATGTCTCCCACTCTCTCCCAAAGATTTCTGAGCACCCGCGGTGGCTCCTACGGCGTAAGTGACATCTTCCGCCTAGATCATTTCTCGTCGCCTATAAATCCTCTCCTCCCAGCGGAGTCAATTGCTAACTGGCTATCTCCAACAATAGCTTTCCTTCGAGGAGGTCGTCCTGAAGGGTCTCGCCTCCGATGGTGGTCTCTTCATCCCCGAAGAGATCCCTACCCTCCCCGCCGGCTGGGAGTCGGAATGGCGCGATCTCAGCTTCGAGGAATTGGCCTTCCGTATCATGTCCCTCTACATCTCCGAGTCCGAGATCCCCAGTGAAGATCTGAAGGATATCATCAAGCGCTCCTATGCTACCTTCCGCCACCCCGAACGCACCCCCATCGTTGAACTTGACGCCAAGCGCAACCTTTACCTCCTCGAACTCTTCCACGGCCCGACCTTTGCCTTCAAGGACGTCGCCCTGCAAAAGTAGGTTTACTGGATACTGCGCATGCATGTGAGAAAGGACACCCGGTGCTGACTTCGATCTCTACCAGTCTTGGAAACCTCTTCGAGTACTTCTTGGTGCGCAAGAACCAGGGCAAGGAGGGCAAGGACAGACACCACCTGACTGTTGTCGGTGCGACAAGTGGTGACACTGGCTCTGCTGCCATTTACGGCCTCCGTGGCAAGAAGGATGTGTCCGTCTTCATCCTGTTCCCCAAGGGCAAGGTTTCGCCCATCCAGCAGGCTCAGATGACCACCATCCTTGATGCCAACGTTCACAACCTCACCGTCGAGGGTACCTTCGATGACTGCCAGGACTTCGTCAAGGCCCTGTTCGCCGATCCCGACATGAACTCCACCCACAACCTCGCCGCCATCAACAGCATCAACTTCGCCCGTATCCTGGCTCAGATCACCTACTACTTCTACTCCTACCTCGCCCTGACCAAGACCCCCGGCTACAACAACAAGATGAGATTCGTCGTTCCCTCCGGTAACTTCGGCGACATCCTGGCCGGTTGGTTCGCCAAGCGCATGGGTCTCCCCGCCGAGAAGCTCGTCATCGCCACCAACGAGAACGACATCCTGGACCGTTTCTTCCGCACCGGCGGTACCTACAGCAAGAGCGACAGCAAGGGTGCCGGCGTCAAGGAGACCCACAGCCCTGCCATGGACATCCTGGTCAGCAGCAACTTCGAGCGTCTCCTCTGGTTCCTGGCATACCAGACCAGCGAGGCCAGCACGGCCGACGAGCGTCGCAAGCAGGCTTGCGACAACGTCAGCAACTGGCTCAACCAGCTCAAGACCGAGGGTGGCTTCAGCGTGCCCCCTGCCCTCTTCCAGGCCGCTCAGGCCGAGTTCGAGAGCGAGCGCGTCAGCAACGACGAGACCATCGCTCAGATCCGCTCCACCTACCAGTCCTGCTTCCCGTCCAACCTGGGCCCTGGCAGTGCCAAGAGCTCCAAGACGGGCGGTTACATCCTGGACCCTCACTCCGCCATTGGTGTCGCCGCATCCCTGCGCTCCATCGAGCGTAACTCTGGCGTTAGCCACATCTCCTTGTCCACGGCCCACCCGGCCAAGTTCGCCAGCGCCGTCGACCTGGCCCTCCGCGGCCAAGACGGCTACGACTTCACTGAAGTCCTTCCCCAGGAGTTCATCGGCCTCGAGGACCGCGAAAGCCGCGTCACTGCCGTCGGCCCCGGTGCCGGCTGGGAGCAGGTGCGCGAGATCGTCAAGGCTGAGGTCGAACAGGAGTTGGAGGGAAAGCGGTAGGCACTTAATCATATAACCTGCATATCATATTTAGTTATCGTCTTCCTTTTGCAATGTCTGTTTGACCAAAAAGCCAAGCTACGTCGATGATATCTCACGATCTTCATGTTTCTTCCTCCCTTTACTTATATCTTACATCCTGTGCATCTTTGGCTTCGCTTCCCATAGATCATTTTATATCATACCATACAATCAAGATAGATGTTTCAATCCTGAGATGGTTATACTAGATGTTCCAGAATTGGGAGAAATGAACGTAGATACAGATAATGAAACTGATGATGGTTGCGACAGTACGAAACGTCAACCGTTCAACCCCGTTCTGTGTTGCAAGATACTTTTGGCTTGTGGATTGGCTGAATCCCCGAAGCGAAGGAGGGTACGTACTTAGGGATGTGAGAAAATCACGACACATGACCATCCATCTAAGTGTCATTGACTACAACCGACGACTCATGCTACATACTGTTACTATTCCGGGCAACGTAACCCGCCGGGGCCGATACGACATCAACCACACGACCCACAGAGCAATACGAACGACGACGTCTATCTAAATATATCTCGATATTCTGTCCACAAGTACAAATTATGCATTATTATGTATTAGAGCATCATTATCTGACACAAAAGCCAAATACATGACTCCTCACCAAAAGCCCTTGGAAACATTCCAGACCAAACAATGTAAGGATATACACTTTGGCACAGGTATGCGTTAGGAACTTGACAAGCAAGGAGCCCAAAGGAGGAAATCACGAAACGATATCAAGAAAAAGTAAAGTAATAGACAAAACAGTAAAAGCCAGATTTTTCTAAATGGGACCGTACCGTACCGTAACACCGGAGATAATATGGGTTATCTTAGTTAATGGGTGACATCGCGATCAAGTGTAGCTTGATCGTTAGATCACTCATACCGGACTGAGCCAATTTAGAGGAGAGCCATGACACCCATGACGGCCGCCAGGAAGCCAGCCGCGGGCTGCATGTTGGAGGAGGCGGCGCCAGTGAAGGCTGGGGAGACGCCCGTTGCGCCAGTGGTCTCGCCGGGGGTAACGGGAGAGACACCGGTGGTTTCTTCGGGAGTGACGGGAGAGACGCCAGTCGCGCCAGTGGTCTCGCCGGGGGTAACGGGAGAGACACCGGTGGTTTCTTCGGGAGTGACGGGAGAGACGCCAGTCGCGCCAGTGGTCTCGCCGGGGGTAACGGGAGAGACACCGGTGGTTTCTTCGGGAGTGACGGGGGAGACGCCGGTCGCGCCGGTGGTCTCTTCGGGGCTAACCGGGGAGACACCAGTGGCAGTAGTCTCTTCAGGAGAAACTGGAGAAACGCCGGTGGCGGTGGTCTCTTCAGGAGTGACGGGGGAGACACCAGTGGCAGTGGTTTCTTCAGGGGAGACGGGGGAAACGCCAGTGGCAGTAGTCTCTTCAGGGGTGACGGGTGAGACACCAGTGGCAGTAGATTCTCCAGGAGCAGCCGAGGTGCCGGGCACAGCAGTCTCGCCAGGCACAGCAGTCTCGCCGGAAGCACCAGGTACAACGCTCGAAGCACCGGGAACAGTGGTCTCACCAGGGACGACGCTCGTGGAGGCTCCAGGGACAGCAGTCTCACCAGGGACGACGCTCGTAGAGGCTCCAGGGACAGCAGTCTCACCAGGGACGACGCTCGTGGAGGCTCCAGGGACGCTAGTCTCACCAGGAACGCCGCTGGTAGAAACGCCAGGGACGCTGGTCTCGCCAGGAACAGCACTTGTCGAAACACCAGGAACAGCAGGGACGGTAGACTCGCCAGGAACAACAGGGACACTGGTCTCGCCAGGAACAGCAGGAACAGTGCTCTCGCCGGGAACAACGGGGACACTGGTCTCGCCAGGAACAGCGGGGACGGTAGACTGGCCAGGAACAACAGGGACACTGGTCTCGCCAGGAACAGCGGGGACGGTAGACTGGCCAGGAACAACAGGGACACCGGTCCCGCCAGGAACAACAGGGACACCGGTCCCGCCAGGAACAGCAGGGACAGTGCTCTCGCCAGGAACAATAGGAACAACAGGAACCGTGGTGTTCTGGAATGGCGGCTGAGTGGACTGAGTGGGAATAACAGTGCTGTTCTGGATTGGTACAGGTGTATGAGTAGTAACGGTTGCAGGTGGGATCACCGTTGTGCCGTTAGTGGGAATGGGGCCGACAGTGGTTTCAGTAGTGACCGGCCTGATAGGAGCGGTACCAAAGCTGGTAGTAGTGATAGGAGCAGTTCCATGGCTAGTGGTCGGCTGGATAGGGGCCGTTCCATGACTGGTAGTCGGCCTGATAGGAGCCGTTCCATGACTGGTAGTCGGCTTGATAGGGGCCGTTCCATGACTGGTAGTCGGCTTGATAGGGGCCGTTCCATGACTGGTGGTAGGCTTGATAGGGGCCGTACCATGACTGGTGGTAGGCTTGATAGGGGCCGTACCATGACTGGTGGTAGGCTTAATAGGAGCAGTCCCATGGCTGGTGGTAGGCTTAATAGGAGCAGTCCCATGGCTGGTGGTAGGCTTGGGCTGAGGCGCAGTACCAGTAGGAAACTGGATAGGAGGAGGGGGAGGCGGGGCCGTGCCAGTACCCACTGTACAAGAATTAGAGACGATCATAAGCAGTAGGGGAATTGGGCATATCTCTTACCAGGGTAGTTGGGGCCGACGACGGTTTTGATGTCAGGCTATCGAAGTTCATGTCAGCATGTGCAAGACAATCAGTGTCAGGATGAGTTCCAGCATACCTCTCCACCGCGGGCAATGACTCCTGCCAGAGCCGGGCCAGCAAAGGCCAGTAATGCGACACCTCCCTTGACCATTTCGATTATCGATACTCAGACCGGTTAATAAAAGCGAACACCGCAACACAACTTTTTAGGCGAAACGAGTGGAAATTGAAACAGCGAGTGACTCCCAGATGTAATACGAAAAGGAAACGGAAGCATGTCAAGGAAGCAGGGAGGCCTGCCCTTTAAATCTTTCATTGTTGAATCTTCCAACCGTTTCCGTGGCCATAGCTCGTGCATGATGGCGATAATGCCACAGTAGGATCCAATGAAAAACAGATCATCGCGCAATAGACGCTCGGTCCAGGAGAAAAAAGCTAGATTTGCTGCTCAACGCCAGGAGCTAGCAAGCTGCGTTGTAAATTAGAGTTAGGCAAACCATGGATAGTGAAGGAACCGATGTAATGGGAGAGGGAAAGTCCTGCCTGGAGAAGTTGTTGGGAGTGTCGCATTCCGTCGTATCATTAACATCAAGGCCCACAATGCTCACATCAGGGTCTTCACGATGCAAATTTGGAGAGAATCCAATAGATGAAAGAACATAGTGGTGGCGTCATCACTCCAATAGAAAATTATTTTTGTGTATCACAGGAACTTCCTCGCACCGAAAGCCCTACGTAAAGCTGGTGAACACCACCTATAGAATGAAGGGTTAACGAGCGGCTGACTATGCTCCATTCTCACAGATGACAACTACCATGGCATTGACGGCATACGTCCTTAGCAATATTGAGTACTCTGCTGTCCCTCAAGCTGTAGGGTCCCATAGACTGCCAAAACATCCGCGGGCTTCGATGGGCTACCCCGGATGGTGGATACTCAATGGGTACTTCTGCAACGTTGCATTTCATGGATAAAATTCAGGGCGGTGGGGGAAACCCTGGAACTTCAGAGTAAAAGAAAACAAGGAAGAGAAGAATCAAATCGAGCAGCTGGGGATGCCTCCACAGCATGTTGAGGCTGCTGTGGGTATCGTCTGAGAGTAACTGGCAAGCATGGGGGATACCCAGCTCACTTTAGGGGAGACCAGTTGTTACCACACAAGGATCCAACTGGATTGGCTCGAGTCAGGCTGAATCAGCTAATACATCAATGAGTCAACAAAATGGTGCAGCCGGATCAGGCTAAGAAGGCCAACTAGAGGATATAGATAGATTCAGTGTGTTGATGGGAGCCTTCAGGTTCCATAGGGCCCGAAGTTCATCCTCATGGGTCAGGGCAGTATACACGTCATCCACCTTTGATTACGAGAAAAGTCCAATGGAACAGCGTCAGCAGATACCGCAAACGGCCAAAACTCTGCCAGGGTGTTCCTGATCACGCAGGGGTGGACCCAAAGATGATGAGGTTGTAGCAGGCAAAGAAGTGGTTGTCGTCGTTGAGGCCATACTTCGGTACCTTGCTGAGTAATCGCCGTTTGCGGATGTAACCACTCACGTGATATGCAGCTTCTTCCGCCCCGAAGCAGCAGATGAGGTAGGGCTTAGGGCTGCCGGGGAACACGCCGATCGCGCTGGGCAACGCGTCGCGACGCGTGGGGTTAATGAGTTGACGATAATGGATGTGGATTGAAGCGCTCATGCAACTCACCACAGCTTAGCACTACGTCAACATTCGGAATGCCTCACTCAGTATCTTCGCAGGACTCATCTGCCGATCGCAAGGATGATGAACTTATGCCTGACGCTCCTCCTACGGAGACAGCATCGGCAAACCAGGAGGACAATGCAGCCGCAGGAGTGAAACTTGAAGACCTATTTAACGATGATGACGATGATGAATACCCAGCCTCTAGTGCACCAGAGACGCAAAATGGTGCTTCATCTGCTCCGGAGTAAGTATACATGCTGCGATATCTCGTGAACGAGAGCATTAATTTAACTGGGATTAAACAGACCTGCTGCTGCTCCGGGGCCCCAGGTTGATACCGATACAATGCTTGCGTTCTATCAACGCCTCTTTCCTTTTCGCTATCTTTTCCAATGGTTGAACCATGGCATTGTCCCATCCCCAGACTTCGGAAACCGTGAATTCGCCCTTACCCTCCAAAACGATGCCTACCTGCGGTACCAGTCATATGCAACTGCGGATCTGTGAGTCCAAGAGTCCTCTATTGTCATTTTTCAAAGGTCCTAACGTTTCCATATCATAGGTTCCGTAAAGATATCCTGAAAATGAACCCCTCTCGGTTTGAAATTGGGCCTGTCTACAACACGAACCCGCGCGACAGGAAGACGCTCCGAGGTGGCCAGATGAAGCCGATCGCCAAAGAATTGGTATTCGATATCGACCTTACGGATTACGATGACATCAGATCTTGTTGTGAAAAGGCAAACATTTGTAGCAAGTGCTGGGCCTTTGTCACTATGGCAATGAAAGTCGTCGACACAGCGCTACGTGAAGATTTTGGTTTCGAGCACATATTATGGGTCTATTCTGGTCGTCGTGGTGCCCACGCCTGGGTTTGCGACCCCCGTGCGCGCAGCCTTCCAGATGATAGGAGAAGAGCCATCGCGGGCTACCTAGATGTCATCCGAGGAGGAAATTCGAGCGGAAAGCGGGTCAACCTTAAGCGGCCTCTGCATCCCCACATGTCTCGCAGTCTGGAGATACTAAAACCATACTTCGCTCAAACTACGCTGGTGGACCAGGAAACCTTCTCCAGCTCCGAGCAGACGCAACGTATTCTTTCATTGTTGCCCGATAAGGGATTGAATGAATCCTTACGGAAACGATGGGAGTCATCACCCGACCGCAGCAGTGCCAATAAATGGGCGGATATCGACGCCTTGGCCAAGACAGGCAAGAGCAGCACTCTCAACCCTACTACACTGCGAGATGCAAAGCAAGACATTGTTCTCGAGTACACCTATCCACGCCTGGATTCCGAGGTCAGCAAAAAGATGATCCACTTGCTCAAGAGTCCATTTGTCATTCACCCCGGCACTGGTCGCGTGTGTGTTCCGATAGACGCCCGAAAGGCGGAACAGTTTGACCCTCTCTCTGTGCCTACGGTTACGGAGCTACTTGCGGAGATCGATGCATGGGATGCGGAGCATCCGAGCAATAATGCAGGTCCGGAAGTGGCGGATGGCGAAGGCAGTGTACCCGAATCTGATGCTAGGGGGAGTCGCAGACTGCAAGACTATGAAAAGACGAGTCTGAAGCCGTACGTCGACTACTTCCGCTCATTCATTGCCGGGCTTCTGAAAGAAGAGCGGACGGGCAAACGGGAAAGGGCCGACGATGCGACTGAGGTCAAGACCGAAAGCATGGAGTTCTAGACATTCCCTGCCAGTTCTATGTTGCGTGTTTGGCTTTAATCGTTGATTCGGATTAGCATGTCGGATATGATACATTTATGGGGAACGGGATTGGCGTCATCGTGCATTGCAAAGGCTGGACACGCTGGAGTTTACTTTTATTTTTCTAGGTCACTGCAACCTTATTCATCATTCTACGTAAATAATCAGTTTTTTTTTGTCATATTCTCAGAACTGTTCCTCGGCACATAGTCCTGACTGTCACCCTAAGCTTCTTCAATTGGAATGCGGAGCTCCGACGGGAAACCTCATGTTCAGCCTCAACCCCGCGCCGACGATGCTCTCAACTCCTTAAATGAGAGACCTTGGCTCGATCATAAGCTTCAATCATCATGCCAGGCAAACATGGCAGCAGACAACACCACTGCCAACCCGCTAGATGAGCGGTTCGAGACCCTCGTCCAAGAAACATTGGACTACTGGCACGTCCCAGGCATTTCAATCGCAGTAGTCGATGGAGACAACACCTGGGCCAAGGCAGGTGTCTCATACATCCCCAACGATCGAGACAACATACAAGAATAAATTATTAACCGATAAACACAGGGCTATGGCATCGCAGCCTTCCCCGCTGAGCCGGTAACTCCCTCTACGCTCTTCTACGCCGGAAGCACCACCAAAGCCTTCACCGCAGCCCTGATGGCCACCATCGTCGAAGATGACGACAACTTCCCCCAAGTACACTGGGATACGCCCATCAGCCAGCTCATCCGCGACGACTTCGTGCTACATGACGAGCACGCAACCGAACACACCACCATCGAAGATGCCCTATCTCATCGCTCAGGCCTCCCCCGTCACGATCAAGCCTACGGCAACCGTCTCACCCGCGACGAAGCCGTACGAACAATAGTGCGCCAGCTGCGCCATCTCCCATTGACCGCCCCTCCGCGCACCAAGCTCCAATACTGCAACCTCATGTACGTCGTCGTCTCCCATGTTATCGAGACCCTCGCCGGCGGAGAATGGCTAGGCGACACCCTAGCCCGCACCATCTGGCATCCCCTCGACATGAAATCTACCTACTTTAGCCTCAATGACGCCAAATCATCCCCTCACCACCTGGCCCGAGGATACTACCATACCCCCAGCGACAGCGACAGCGACACTGACAGCAACCACTACCACGAAGTCCCCTGGATGTCACTAGACGAAATCTCCGGCGCCGGGAGCATCATCAGCAACGTCCTGGACTACGCCAAATGGGCGCGCGCACTACTCCACCAAACCGAGCCCTTATCGCCAGCCGTATACAAAGCGATCTTCGAACCGCGAACTCTACTGCCATCCGAGGCGCCGTTCACGGGCCCACGCGCATACGCTCTGGGTTGGTACACGGGCGTGTACCAAGGCGTGCAGTTCTTCGAGCATACGGGGGGCATGAATGCGTTTGGGGCGGAGGTAATCTTATTCCCGAGTTTGAAATACGCGGTTGTCATGCTGGCCAATACAGCCGGGACGTCGAATTACGCGCAGAAGGCGTTGGCGTTTCGGTTGGTGGATGAGAAGCTAGGTGTGCCGGTTGAGAGGCGGTTTGATTGGAATGCGAAGTATGTTTTGAAGCAGAACCCCGCTCGTGATGTTTTTAATGCTAACAATTTCTTCTTTCCAGGAATATGGCGCATATAGAAGAGGAGAGGAAGAAAGCCCTTGATGCTATTCATAAGGCCCCCGCGCATGTGATACCGCATTCGTTGGAGCTAGGGGAATATGTGGGGACGTATGTGCACCCGGGCTATCAGACTGTTGAGATTTATCTTGATCAGTCGAAAACTATATTGCGCGCTGACCGGGATCGTACGACCTGGCCGGAGTATCTAACCTTTAAGCATGTTAATGGGGAGCATTTTCTCGCTATATCGGAGCATGTTGGAGACTTGGGGGCTTTCTTTCCTGATGTCTATGCGGCGGAGTTTCGCATCGGGGAGAAGGGGAAGCCATGCGCGCTTGGGGTAGCGTGGGAGAAGACTATGAAGGAGAAGATATGGTTTACGCGGTTGGATTGATTGTTTAGAGTGATTTATGCGTGTCTCGGTTTAGAGAGGGGGAGTATCAATGATTTTAACAGTGGTACCTTGCGAGGTTCAACTGAGCATCTACTATTAATATACATGAGCACACTGCAGAAAACAGTGGCAAAATTATTGAAACATGATTCCGATATTTTCATGACGGATTGTCATAACCGTATTAGTTTTAAAGAACACCTTCCACGCTTAAGCGGAGACGAAGTTCTTGACGTCTGTGGAAAGTGTTAGCCAAGTATCATTTGTAGGGATCTAATAGGATGTCACGTACTCTCGAGCCAGCGAACGTACTCCTTCTGCTCCTTAACCTGGATGTAGTCGGGGATCATGTTGGCAAGCTCGGCGTTAATGCCCCTCTCATCGAGGTAGCGCTCGAGGAAGGTCTGCAGGTCCTCATCGAGGTTCTCGAAGGGAGGACCAGCGTACATGCTCTGTCTGGTCCAGTCCTTCTCGGCAGTCTGGGCGTGGGCCAGGTCGGACTTGTTGAAGTAGGAGACCTCTTCGATCTGGAACAGGCCGTCCTGAGCAACAGTCTGGATCAGGAGGGCGCCGTTGCTGGGCTTCTCAACGGTGATGTTGACACGGGCAGGGAAGCTAGGCTCAAGGTCGCGGTCCAACTCATCGCCCTCGCGGTCAGCGGGAGCGACGCGGTCCTCAGCGTGCTGAGAGACGTTGCCAGAGCGGCCCTGGTTGACGGGCTGGTGGCCACCGAAGTCCATCTCATCGAGAGCAGCATCATCGAAGTCCTCCTGCTCGCTGAGGTTCTGAAGGTCGGCGACAGTGAAGGTGAGGCGGATCCTAATGATTGAACGAACCGTGAGAAGAAATGTCACAGTAGAGGGGGGGAAAGATCAGTAACACGGGTACTTACTCCTCGTTGCCGAACTTCTTCGTCAGGACAACCTCCTGCTCACCAGGGACGTCCTTGACCTGTTCACCAGTATATTAGCTTTGATCGACGGCTTATAGAATATCCAGCGAAGAGCGTACCTCCCAAGAGTTGTTCTGAAGAACATACTGGATGTTCTGAACGGAGGACTCGAGGTCCTCAAGGCCAGAAGCCTTCTCGTGCTTCAGTTCGTCCTCAAGCTTGGCGACGAGCTCAACATCGCCTACAATCACCGAAAGGCCCATGTTAGCATCATTCTTTCATAGCTTCGCAATTGACAATTAACAACAGGGTTCTGTCCCATTCCGCCACGAAGAAAAGTAAAGCACAAAGACTCATTCAATCGCTGTTCTCTGGAACCTTTCCTACACAAGCAGATAACTCATATATTCTTACCTTCGGCAGGGGACTGCTTGAAAGCGCGGGACGTCGAGAAAGCAGCATAGGAAGGTCTCGTAATCTGCTTCAGAGAGGACTGGAAGGCATTCTTGGGGACTGCGGACACCGGCCGGGAAATGGCGGAGCGGGAAGAGACGGCGACAGAGCGCGAGATGGTGCGAGGCACGGAGCGAGCGAGAGTGCGGAGGGACATCATTTTGAAGGATTGAGGATGAAAATGGAAAGTGGCAGGAGAAGAGGAAGAAATGGACGGATGATGAAGGATCGGAAAAGAAGACAAGCTGATGATGGATGATGTTACCGCCCGCCAAGACTGGAGCTCTGCAATGAACTGCCAGGCCAATCACGGGTCGCAATGCGGGACTCATACCATCCATCGCATTTCGGCATCATTAAGTTACAACTAGTCATGGGTTGGATGATACTGTGATGAGAATGAAGCATTCTGGTTACCCTCGAGACTTTCATGGACATTATACAGCTACAAAATATGATTCAACAGCTTTTGTAAAATTCTATGTGCAATCGTAACGCCGTTATGCCATCCGTCTCCGCGCATACTGCGAATCTTCGATCTCCGAAATTGAAATGCAAAAAGAAAACTAGAACTTTTGACGTCTCATGACATGCCCTTCGGCGGGAATACTGAAGGTTGTTTTGCTCCATCCTTAGTGATGCGAATGAACTTCATCGTGCTCAGTCCGGACCAGTCTCCGTTCCACGAGGCGAGGGCTTTGAGAACACTCTCATCGCTAAAGTCGGGCATCCAAAATCCCGTCTTAAACTCGCGATTCTCAACGTCTGTTCGCTGCAACAATGCTTCTTCGCGCTTGCTGGGTGGTCGGCCTTTCCGTCTCTCGCTCTGTAGTTGTTCGATCTCGGGCACGCTGCGGTTGATGTACCTATAGTTGAAGATCGTAAGTATATGCGATTTTCGCAAGTGACGAACAGTGTGGCGCACCTGACAACGATGTCCTTCATTTCATCCTCTGACATCGGAGCTTGGCCTTCTGGGACACTCTCGTGGAAATAGGCGATCCGTTCCACTAAACAGGAGAAACATTAGTTATCGCAACACGAAGCACAAAATCCCAACGAGAATTGCTGTACCATATGTCTGTCTGGCCCGCGACATATTGGCGGAGACACGAGCGACTCGATCTTCTCTGGCATTGGCTCGGCGCAGTCTTCTGGCATCTCTGCTAAACTCGTGGAGAGCCTCAACAGCGCCTCTCTTCTTGGCAATATGCTTGGTAACTTTCTGGAATGTCTTCGGCATGGTGGGCAAATGGTTTGATCGGATTCTTGGCTCCTTCCACAACGAATGAAGAAAGATTTTTGATCCGACAGTCAAAAGTCGAATTTCATCTTTTGCGGAGGATTTCTTTTTTCTCCGGCAGAATCTAAAGGCGGTGATATGAGGTGGCGGCACCGCCTCGACAAGACCAATCAGGGGAGCGGATGGATGGGGCCTCCCCATCGCGTTCCTTGCGCGTCAGAGGGACCAGGGAGGTAACATTCCAATCTTGTTGTCTGGGTCATCCTCATTTCGCGACTGTTTAGGTGCTCGTTAGGCCTGGTGCATGCTACTGAGCACTGATGTCCTCTAATTCCCATGTCCGTCGTCAAAATTGACCTCTAAGCACCAACAGACACCAGTTGATGTCTGTTTCGGCGGTGCTACTTCCCTGAACGAGGAGTATTCGGTCTTCTAAGGACGCTGACAATGGGCATTAAAGGTATGCTTCTTATTGTCCTTGACTCGCGAAGTGCTGCATTTGCTTACACACAATACAGGGCTTCATGGCCTGCTCAAATCGATCCAAAAACCATGTCACCTGAAAAAGTTTAGTGGGCAGACCCTGGGAATCGATGCATATGGATGGCTACATCGAGGCACTGTCGCCTGCGCGGTGGACTTGGTTTTGGAAAGGCCTACTAGGAAGTACGTTCATAGCTAACAAGGCTGTATGTCACCATCCCTTTCTCACAGGATCGCAGACACATCGACTTCGTCTTGAATCGAGTCCGCATGCTCCTCTACTTCGGGGTAACTCCATATCTTGTATTCGACGGCGATGAGCTGCCAAGCAAGGCTGGAACCGAGGTGGAGCGTCAAAAGAGACGGCAGGACAGCAAAGCCCTCGGTTTGGAACTCCAGCGAAAAGGGCGGATCGCAGAGGCATACCAGGAACTGCAGAAGGCCGTTGACGTGACGCCCTTGATGGCGCGGGAGTTAATAGAGGAACTGAAGAAGATAGATGTCCAATACGTCGTGGCTCCGTACGAGGCAGATGCGCAACTGGCCTACCTGGAACAGCAAGGCATTATTGCTGGTATCATTTCAGAGGATTCTGATCTGCTCGTCTTTGGTGCAAAGCGGTTGTTATCCAAGCTCGACCAACATGGCGACTGCATTGAGATCAACCGTGCTGACTTTTCGGCCTGTCGAGAGGTAAGTCTGATCGGGTGGACAGACGCCGATTTTCGACGGATGTGCATCCTCAGTGGCTGCGATTATCTCCCCAACATTGCACGCTTAGGATTGAAGACAGCCTACCGAAGCATTCGAAAGTACAAGAACGTAGAACGGGCGTTGCGGATGCTTCAATTTGACGGTCAATACCACGTTCCCTCCGATTACCTGGACAACTTCAGACAGGCGGAGCTTACGTTCCTCTATCAGAGGGTATTTTGTCCGAAAGCTGGGAAACTGGTCACCCTAACACCGCCTGAGGCTGATGTCAAGTTGGAAGAACTCACGTTTATCGGTGGTGACGTGGAACCTGACGTTGCGGTCGGAGTTGCTCGTGGCGATCTCGACCCGACGACAAAGGAACGTCTTGTACTAAAGCCATCGCTCGCAGCTAAGCCGGCCGATAAGAGGCTGACCAACACGATAAGCCGTCGACAGACCCTGGGCTCGTCTGCTGAACTCAAGCCAAACAAGCCGATCAACTCCTTCTTCACCCCCAAGCGCGTTCCCTTGGCAGAGTTGGACCCGAATAGTCTCAGCCCCTCTCCCAGCCAACAACGGCTGCTACAACGCCATGCAAACAGCTCTTGGGACAGTGTTCCTGCGCCATCACGGCCAGCACTCATGCGATCTGCGTCGTCAGTCGGGTCGTCAAACCGGGCTTCTAGCCCTTTGATTAGAAGTGTGGAGCGTAATGCCTTCCTGGCACATGCCTCCATAACATCGAATTTGCAGCCCGCTAAGCGGCAGCGACTATGTTCTGATGCAGAGGAAGCTAACCTCCCGAATCCCCCGGATTCCCGCAGCAGATTCTTCTCCGGCAGTGTTAACGATGCTAGTCCAAGCGCACAGAAGGCTACCCGCACCAAGAAGGCGCGCAAGTCTACCTTGGACGTCTTCTCCGATGACTCTGCAGAAGACCTCATGACACAGCTGCCAGACCCGAGCCAAGCGACTGAAACTCCAAGTCGTGTCAAGTCATCCTCCATCGATGACAAGTCCATTCAAACGCCTGCTGCAGCTACTTCTGAGCTGGGTGCTCCTGAGTCCCCTGCGGAAGACTGCAAAGAGCAAACTCAAGAGCAGAATTCATCCACTTCTGAACAAGCTTCGGAGAAGAGATCGGATGATGTTGGCGACGGCTATACACTAAACCTTTTGCCTGTCGCAAACTCTCCCACGCTTTCAAAATACGTCTTCCAGGCCGGAACTGCTGGTGTGGGTAATCAAAATGATAAGCTTGGTGGTAAGGGTCATCAGTCAGGTTCCTTAAGTGAGCACAAGGCGACTACCGGAGTGCGGCACGGCTTATTGGGAACACCTCCCAGACGTCAGCGGACGACGCCATTGCAACGGCTAGGCCAAAGCGCCTTGGCTCGGTCTCGATCATTGAATTGTGTTTCGCCTTCCCTGGCAGCATTTAGAGCCTCCAAATCACCGGCAAAGAGCCCTGCAGTTCCAAAGCTTGATCACAAGCCTGTGCGAAGTCTGGCAACTCCCAGTCAAGGCAGTGAAGACATGATCATTCCGGATAGTGAAGATGAAGAATCTGAGGGCGAGACCCGAGCCCCAGTGGGACTTGCCTCGTTTGATGTGCGACGATTCTCGTTCATGGGTAAATAGAATCATGGGTTGTCGAAGTGCAATTACATCTTAGACATTGGCATTATTTGGAAGTATCTTACATGCGTGGAATCGGACCTACACTCGCTCTCCCTCGATGTGAAAGCCCTTTCTGGAATTCATTTCATGGCCTTCACGTTGCACCACTTGATTTTCCTATACATATAATCTCGACTCTTATATGCGCTCGCCAGGGCCCTGTTTTGAAGACACAGACTTGGACACCTGCTCCCGTTATGGGTCCTTACAGATTTTGATTATACTTGGCCATCATTATACTTGGCCATGCCGGAAAAATTGGTAGGCCTTCTGTGACAGGGCGTTTGATAAATATCCTCTAGCCTTGCAGCACTCTACACATACCGCATCAAGTAGATGAACTATACTAATTAGATACCTCTTAAATAAAGCATTTGACTATTGTGGCCATGAACCTGAACCAGTAGATACACAGAAGTTGTCATTGTAGGGTCCTCTCTGGAAGCACCTTAATTCTGGGCATGTCTTCGATATTCAAGTGGTCCCAATATATACATTTGAGATTTACAGGTGGGGGAACATTGTCTCGCAGCACCTAGCTTCATGAAATGAGAGGCTTAATGGGGGACGACAGAGTAACGCAGCTGCTACTAGTCGTGCAAGGGCTCGGTTCTCTATGCAGCGCGGCATCTGAAAACAAGTAATATCGTTCAACAACAATTTCAGTATCAGTAGCATTATAAAAATATTACGACTAGCAGTACCAATAAGCAACTACTGGTGCTCCATTTTCATGGATATCAAAGATAACTCCTAGTAGATGAATTGTACTAAACTGGTTAAATATATATATCCAGTACTCCGTACAGCACCACGCTAAAATGTGAGCAACAAGGCAGCTATTGCGAGCGTTGTGAGGATAAGAATGGGACTAGAATTAGCTCTAAAATAGCATCTGCAGCGCCAGCTGTGGGCGGATATAATTAGAAGATGATCCAAAAGTTAAGCAAGGTACCGATGGAGCAGGAGGTACTATTGAAATTGATTCTTGATTTCCGAATTGGAGGCTGGACCGATCAGGTGCCGATAAGCCAGTGGGGCTGATCTGATCCGGCTAGAGTTATCGGTGGACACGATCAACCTGCCCGATCTGGACAAGCGCCAGTAACGGATAAAAATACAGCAGGCGGTGAGGGATGGTTACCGGGGAACGGGAGGCGGGCCAACGCGGTAAACAAAAGACCAGTGGCCCAGCCTCCCCCATTGGGCCACTTCCGCCCGTCACTTAGTTGTATACGCCCTTCCCAGCCTCCTCGATTATCACCACCATCATCGCCATCACCATCCACCCTGCCGCTGCGCGATTCGAGGTTTTCGGAGGATTCGTTTAGCTACGAGCCATCTCTCCCTCTCCCTCTCCCCTTCACTCTCTTGCCCTTCCCCATCTTCCCCCCTCCCATATTCCACTTGCCTCTTTTCGGCATACTGCAACCCATCTATCTCAACCCACAAGACCGATTCGTTACTTTTTCTCTGCATTCTGACTGCCCTTAGATCTGTCAGGGCCCAACGTGGGACAAGGGAGTTATCCATTCTTTCGATCTCCCGCATTGACACATTCCCAATACTCCATCGCCCACGAGATCCGTCACATTCCATTCCAACCATATCGGTGCTCTCCCTCACCAAGCGCGTGCTCCGCCTTACGACCCTATCGACAGTCGACTCGGGCTCTGCCCCTACCACAATAGCTATACCGCTCGTCGTCGGGTGGTGTCCGACAGAGTGAGCCGCACCGGACATTTAATACTCCTTCTCGGAGTCCCGAGAAGCGAGTTGGATTGGATAGAAAGAGGAATACGAAGAACATATCGCCCTAGATGCCGGGACTAACAGCGAAATTACCCCGTATGTCTACATTACGTGTCTCCAGATTGGTTATTTCTCTAGCAATACTGACTGTCCATATCTAGGGGTTCTGCAACTGGTCGGGTACCACCATGTGTTGATGATAATCATCGCAGTGGCCATCATCCTACTATGTGAGCAGTTATTTCCCGACTCTTCCCAACAATGCGACTAACTCTGTTCCAGCGTTACTACTAGCAGGATGCTCATCGTCCTCCCCGCAGATCCCCGACATCTTCCTGATCTCCATGTACTATGAGCGCTACAAACCAACTTTCAACCTCGCTCAGGTAGATCCGGGGGTAGTGACAGCAACAGCAAATATTGTGGGAGGAGCCGAGATGGAAGTCCGTGTGGGTTATTTTGGCATCTGTGTACAGCCAGATGCCGGATCCTACATTTGCAACTCGAATGCGACAGCATTGGCGGAGATTGTCACAGTCGACCAAGATCCGTTGAACCTGATTTGGGTAGCATCGACGTTCAAAGATGCAGTCGTCTTCCCATATCTACTGTACGTTCACACCCTCCACCCTCATGAAGGCATTTTGACTAACGGTCACAATATAGAATTCTTGCCGTCATTCTCGCTTTCTTCTGCTTCGTCATCCTCGCCACCTTCCCTGGATGGCATGACGAGCTAGACCCTAGCGGTTCCGAGATCGAAGCCAGGCCGATTCCGTCGCGGCCTGTATCCCAAGCAGCACTAGCCTTGACTTTTGTAGCCTCGGTCTTCGTCCTTGTGTCCGTACTATGGCAGCACACCGCATCCGTAGCCGCCAGCACGATAGTTCAGGATCTGGGCAACGGAAGTGTCAAGAGTGGCGTGGGTACATCTGCCATGGTTCTCGGCTGGTTTGGATTTGGACTTCTGGTGGTCGTGACGATAGGACTGCTAGTGATGATCCTGAGCGTCAAACTGATCCAGCAGTTGACGGACTAGCATGATCTCTTTTCGCTGTTTTTCTTTCTTGTTTTGATGCTGCATTATATCTGCTTGGATTGGTTTTGGTTTCTTTCCCCCGGACATATTACACCCCGATTCCCCTTCCCCAACGACACGACACGAATACACACGACCATCCCAGCAAAACGAATAATCACGACCCACACCCACACCCACCCCTCAAACTCGAAACGATTGAATTTTGTTATGGACTCTTTTACGGCACATGGATTACGGATATGGATTGCTATGGACTACAATGGATATGGAAATACGGGAATCATGAAGACATGCATAATGAGCATTATTGTCATCACCATCACCATGATAACATATTTGAGACCGTCTGTTTTTAAGTGTCTCGCCCGGATGAACAAAGATTATATTCACTACATGTTGAAAACCAAATGATTGATTGAATTACTGCCAAATATTCCCCGTTGTCCTTTCTTTTTTTATGTACATTCTGTCGGTTTTGCCTTGGATTTGGCTCATGGATGGTTCTCGTTATTATGGTTAGTATTGATGATTGAGCATGTATAAAAGATGATATGGTTCCCGCGATTGGTTGCACGATTGTTTTAAGTTTCTTAGTCTAGATGTAAGTAACTGCAAATGCAAATGCAATGCACGATACAAGATATACACTATGAACAAAATACAATACGCACAGATCATTTCAATTATCCTCGGGGTATTATACTAGAGATACTTTTATACAACGCGCTGTATGGAAAACCATCACTTCATAACCATGACGAGCAAACAAAACAACCCCACCTATCAAATATCATGTCTCGCATACCTACTCGCCATCCTCAACCTCCTCCCAAACTTCAACAACACAAACGGAAACGGCACAAAAAGCACACACAAACACCCGAGCAACGTACACGCCCACCCGACCCCCAAATTATGAAACATAGCGGTAGCAAACAACGGAAACCCCGCACCAAACGACGATCTCAAAAAGTCATTCCCGGCCAGCACCGACGCCGCATACTTCGGATACGCATGCGCCTGGTAACAGAAGATGCAATTGAAAATCAGACACCCACCGACGGCGAAGAACATCGATGCAATGATGGGGACGATCCAATGCACGGAGGCGAATTGGCCCGTCCAGCCGAACCAGAAGAGGGAGATGGGGAGAGCGAAGCATCCGACGCAGGCTGGGGGCAGCTGTCTTTCTGGTGTGATGTTCCAGTTCTCGTCGAAGTGTTTGGCTTGGTATTTCCATTTCCACCAGAAGTAGCAGGGGATGGTGATGGCGCAGGTGGAGATTAGGATGCCGAGGAAGGCGAGGCCGCTTTGGCCGCTGTTGAAGCCGTGGATTTCGCTGAAGATTATCGGGAAGGCTTCGAACCAGATGTAGAGGATGCCGTAGATGAGGGCGATGTAGAGGTTCATGATTAGGACGATGGGTTCGAAGAAGCAGAGTTCGAAGGGGCGGACGAGGGCTTCGAAGATTATGTCCTGTGTGTGGGGGGTGTTGTTAGTGCTGGTGGTCTGATTGTAGGGAATTGAGGGGGGTGGGGGGCGAGAGCTTACCATTTTTCTCATGTTGGCGACCTCGATCTCGGCTTCGCAGCGGTAGTTGGAGTTGCCGGTGATTTGGCGGACGCGACGAGCTCGCCGGTAGAGAATGTTGGGTGCAAATGTCTCCGGGAGGAAGAAGAATAGGAGAACCAAAGCAAAGCCGGAGACCCAGAGGAGCTGCCATATGGTCCATTTCCATCCTTCTGCTTGTGCTGCGAATCCGCCTACCAGGGGTCCTAGGACTGGGGCAGAGATGGCGAATGCTCCCCATATGATGATCATGTAGTCGCGCATCTTAGGATTCCAGATATCACCCATGGATGCAGCGCCAGTGGCTAGGGCTGGGGATCCAATGAAGCCAGTGAGGAATCGAAATGCTAGGAGCATTCCGAAGTTTGTGGCGTATATGACGGCAAATTGGAAGAAGACGAAGACGAACAGTGTGAGGACGTACGTAGGGCTTCGACCGACGGGAGGTAGTTCCGACAATGGAGACCAGACCATTGGGCCTATTATGCTGTTAGTTACCATTATACCAATTCTTGGAGGGTGGTTGTATCAGATTCTGCTAGCACATACCCAAGCCATACCCCAACACGAACAGGGTCAGTCCCAACGTGGCAGCCACACTGCTCACTCCGAACTGCTCACTGACGCCGGGGATGCCAGGGGTGTATATCGCCGAGCCGATGTAGATAGCAAACGTCAGAAGCCATATTAAGCTGCTAACGAACAGCTTCTTGAATGTGCTCCAGTTCTGCGGGTTCTATATGCCTGTCAGTATGTAATCAAGCTATCGGATGCAGGCGGAGACAGTGCAGAAGGTCTAAACGTACTTCAGGATCATCTGGCCCACTCCAGTCGATGACAAGCGATGCATTTGGGTTCGGATGTAATCCTTCTGCCCCGTCGTGTCTAGCTGTCGACGCAGATGATAGGCGACGTGATGCTCTGGACGCCTGCGAAAGAACAGTATAAAGACCCAGGTTTTCCTGATCGCTTTCAGAAGCTGCAGCTTCTTCATCTTTGACCTGTTTCTCCGTCTTCAGGTACTCTGTCCACATGCCCGTGTCATTCTCTTCGGGGTAACGTAGCCATCGCTTTCCGCTGAAGATGCGTACTAGCTTCCCAAATGCTGAGTCTCGAATAGTTTCCATGATGTGGGAGGGCTAGTCGATCTCGGAGGCCCAAGGGAAAAACAAACACACTGATTCTATATCACCACGATACATCAGCGGAGACATAGTTACTTTATAAAAACAAGATGCAGTGGCAATCTGCAGCTATTAGAGACGATCCTCTGGTCAATGAACTCTAAAACGAGTTTAACAGGCGAACGTCCATCTCGGCCGGGGTCATAGCCGTAATGCCGTATATAAAGCCGTATATCCGACGGAAAGACCTGGGGCTGTCGACAGCTGAATGGACGTTGATCCGTCGGATGTAGCTGCTGGTCTGGACTCTGATCCCTTGCATGATTTCATCTCATTACGAGAAACACTGTAGCACGTCACTCGCCCCGTTATGAGTTGCATCGCAGCTATTAGAGACTTCACGGTTGTGACGTCACGACTTGTTGAGCATCCTGGGGACATGCCGGCAGAAGATTTATCACTCAGAACTATCCAGTTCAGTCTTAAGTAGCGGTTATTGGTTTGTACATAATCAATATCTATTCCCGTCAGATATTGGAATGGTGTGTTGGATATGCTCAGCATGTGCAGTATCACAACCGCTGAGTCTGGATAGGCGTCCACCTCAGTAGAAGACCACCACTGCGACCCCGTACAGCAAATCTGCGAAGTGGATCGCGCGAACCGCAGGTCCCTGTCCATGGATTGACATGATGTCGAGGACGAAAAAGAATTTTGCGGATCTAGCAAGCTTCCGGCGGAGGGCTCCGTTGCTGCCAGCGAAACGGTTTACCCGCGATGTCGCAGCTGGCTTTATAGCCATACCCTAACTAGCTAGTACTCTAGGAATCCTGATCAATAGTATTCCATAAAGCCTTTTGGGTGCCACGGTGCTTGCATGCAGTCAATAACAACCAACTATTCAGTAATAATTCAGGAGAAGACCAATGGAATGACTGATTCATCCTCCATCCTCATTGTTGCATTCCTGAAAGTACCCTTGGCATCCATTAAGGAGGAGGGCTGCATCTGACCCGGAGATCTCCGCAGTAAGCGTCTGTTTATATTATGAAAATGATGCGGACAGCATACTTCTCGGTGCGTGTATACTCGATTGAAGGCTAGGTTTAAGCCTCGACGTAACTCAAATATTGAGAGACCACCTGAGCCTCACCAAGGGCAAATCATATGAATGTGTGAAGATTCGCCCCCTTGAATATATTTCAGCATTGAGTTATGTCCCGATGGGTAATCATCTGAGAATGTTGACAAAATGATGCTGGTAGGTGAGGAACATACCTGGATTCTGTATAAGTCGAATTTGATAGAGACTCTCCTCAAACGTGTTTGCCCCGGGATTTAGAAGACAGAAACCAACTTAGAGTAGCAATGTGCTTCACTTCGTCAAATCGCATTACCATGTAAGGAATGAAAGCCGAGCTAGGATAAAAAACCAAACTACTACCAACATCGGTCTTCACAGCCTACATTGTCTTGCATATACTGGTAAGAATCGACGACCATTTGAAGCCATAGCTGCACCCCCTGCTGGGTATTGTGCAGGATCTAATATATTGGATACGATATAATTCAGGGTAGTATATTTACAGTGGATAACAACAGTATTACTGTTTAATCATATATATTTGGTAGTACTAAGCGTTATGTCTGCGGTGCCATATATATAATTGGTACATTTATTATCATGTTATACAATAACGCTAAAGAGAGACTAAATCAACTTAGCACATCTTCAAATACTTTACACACTTCTTAATGGCCTGAAAGAGATTACTCGAATCCTAGCCATGGGTATCGCCGATCAAAGCGACCATTGGAGGGCCGCCAATCAGGCATAAATTAAAAGTGGGTTGATCGCAGTGCCGTGAGAGTCAGACCTCTGCAAGGCTGAGAGTCGGACCCATTCCATTGGCAGCTTTGATAGGCTTCATAAGAGACGAGTCTACCTAGCATATATCCATTTTTGTGTCTCTGCTTATGCAACCTACATGAGAAACTCATACTGCAGCTTGCATGGCCCAATCACAACAAAATCGAGAAGAGCGACATCTGCACGGAGGATCAGCGCATGTTGCATGTGAAGAATGAGGCCTTCCAGCGATTACTGAATACTCGCGAGGTAGATTCGGGTGCACAGGCTACAGAAGAAAACAAGCGGCGCTATGCTTGGATTGAACGAAAATCGGGTAGGGCTTACAAGCCTGATCCTGAGGTCCAGCCTCAACGCTGAATGTACTATTCTGTCATGATTTTCGTTGCTTTCAAGGTTGATTATTGCGCGGAATGATTTGATGACATGAGTTA